TGTAGTAAGTAGTACGTAGGTAGGTAAAGTTAATAGTAAGTACGTACCGACCGTACGATACTAGTTACTTAGTTTAACTTACTATATGTATATATATATATATATATATATATATATATATATATATATATATGCATATGTACATTATTTAGTACACAGCAGATATTTTTTGTTAACCCAGAGAAACGTTGCTCAATATGAATGTCAATGCTTTACTCCTGTTCGTAGCAGTTAGAGAGCCATAATAATTATATAATTCCAGCATTATCTGTATTTTTTATGTGTTTGCACCTGTTCATTATATATCATGCCTGCTAATTCGCAACAAATATTATGAACTAAAGCTGGAAGTACATGTTGTACGTAGTTCCTGTAAATTTTTATACATATTTACAGAATCATGATGACATGTGGCTGCAAATATACAATATGTACACAGAAACAATATAAATATTGCAGCGTGTCACTGTGACAGGCAGTGCAACATGCAGTGAGTGTAAACGCGGTAAAATCTGGTGGTCGCATGTCTGTTTTGCAGAGACGTTCACATTCTGCACAAGTGCGGGCAGGACGCGCTGCACTATTTGACTTTCCAGCGCTACCTGGTGGTGTACATGTGCGTAATATGCATACTCAGCATCACTGTTATACTGCCCGTAAACTTCCAAGGAGGCCTCGGTAAGAGCTACCACTCTAATATGTCCACTCTAGGAAAAACTGATAGATGTGTTGTGTCTAGCAAAAAGTAATGAAAATATTTCGACTCAATGTAACTAAATGTGATCGTCAATGAATGCATTCTTGAGTATTTCATTGATGTGAAATATCATATAATGTTTATAAATAGTGTAATTTTGTGTTCAATAATTTAAAGGGTATGGAACGTTATATCTAGGTGAGGATTGTAATGAATTTACAAGTTCAAAAATAGTTAGGTTTGACAAAGAAACCTGAATCATTACAATAAATTGCCATCAATGTAAGTTCTGTCATGATTCAGTAATATACAAGAAATTTGGTGATGAAATGAAGGCTCTTCCTGGGTGTGTGATCACTGTAGTTAATTGTGCCATTAGTGACTCTTATCTTAAAATTTTATCTAATTTAAAGAAAACAAAGCAAGCTTAAAATAAAGATTGTGTATACGAAAGTGTATAATGAGAAAACTAAAATTTAATAATTTTGTGATTCTAGAACATTAAATTTAATTAAAATTAAAAATGGTTTAAAAATACTTTTTTATTCCTAAAATAGCCTAATTATAGAAACCAAGATAAAGAGGGAAAACCCTACTGCAGTTATTATGTATATGCATACTTCATTTGGTTAATTATATATTTACTTATATAATTTGGATAGGTAGATGCTTGGCGTATACTTACCTAAATTTATTAGACATATAGTTTTATTTGTGTAATGGTATAGCTAGCAAAGAACCCTGCAGTTTCTGTGTCTATAATTTAATATTGAAAGGCAAAACCTACAATTATGTAGAGAACAAAGACTAGTCACGTTATAGCACTATGGACGTTGGATTTGTGGCTGAACTTCTGTGAATGCTTAAGGGAGAAAATATATAAAGGATCAACTGAATATCTTTCATCTAACTGTTGATGTGACTGTGTCTTCTGACAAACATTGATCATGACATTTTGTATATTCGCAGCTGGACCAGAGGATTCATTTACTCATACTACTATCCTGAATATTGATCCTACGTAAGTACTATGTAGGTGAAGTCATAACTAAACTGCTGCCAGTATGTTTGATTACAGCACACATTGAATTAGGAACGTTCTATCGTGACGTCACAGTTATCACAAGTGTGTTCTTCATAGCTGCTAATAATCAGTTTGTGTAATTTATCAATTTGTCACTGCAGCTTGTGGGTAATATCAACACAGAAATGTTCACATGTGTTCTAACTTCTAGCTATAGAATGAACGTATATTATTTCTACATACATACGTGTGTGTGTGTGTGTGTTTGTGTGTGCGTGTGCGTGTGCGGGTGCGGGTGTGTGTCTTTCTACCTGCAGGTCACCAATGTTGTGGGTGCATGCTGGTTTTGCACCTCTATACCTCATCATCATCGTACTATTCCTAAAGCACTATCATGCCAACTTGCAGTTTGAAAATGAAGAACACGTAAGTGGATTTACATTATGAATGTTAATTAACAGGTCTAGCTCAGCATTTATTAACGTAACACTTAGTAGTTACAAGAGTAACACATGTTTGTATGTTTCATCACTACACAAAGCGATGTACCAGAGTATGGAAAATGACATCGGCTTCCACGTTGAGTTGTGTCACCTCTCGTGTGTTTGACTGTCATGACTTGCAATTTGTGTAGCAGTTGAACTGACCTCTTATATTTGCAAGGTCACGAGAACAGTGATGATCTGTGAAATTCGGAGAGACGGATGTGTTAAAGAGCTTATCATACAGCATTTCCAGTGAGTAGATGCATTTTTAGCTCACCTTGACATTGTCAAGCTGAGCTATTGCCATGGGTCGTCGTCCGTCCGTCTGTCCGTCCGTCTGTCTTTCCGTCAACATTTGGCTACGGTCAACGATAAGTCAGGAACCGTTTGACCCACATGAAATTGGGTATAGTTGTTACTACTATGCTCCCATATTGAACGTTCTATTTTGGAGCACGCCAGTCGACGTACTTTCGAGCCACGGCAATTTTTTTGCAAAAATGGGAATTGCCATTAATCAGTGCAGGTTCAACGGATTTTGCTCATTTTTGGTATGTGAATGAATAAGGGCTAGGGGTTTTGATATTTAAAAAAAAATTATGCAAATTAGGTAGGTTTTGGCAATTATATAGCATATTATATAGACACGCAGATAACAAACAGTCTGTGGTGTCACACTTGTCTGGTTTGTTTTACAAGATTTCATTGACAATATCTTTAATGCAAAATTAGTATTTCCTTTCCACCCTGACGATAAAACGTTTTTATTAGAGTAAAGTTTTACAAAACATGTCGGAACGTAGCATAACCTATTTATTTCGAACGCCATCGCTAAGAAACATCAAAGCGGGTATAGTGCCATCTACCGTCACAAATTGTGATTCATTTTGGTTTATAAATTATTATTGCAATATACAGATGGCAACCGTGTACTACCACCTAGAAAAACTCATACGAAGTAAACACTTCCATGCAATCAATTAACCTTTGACAAAAATTCTGTTATGGGCAGGGAAACATCATTGTCACGTGGTATATAGCAGCTACGTGGAATAAGTGTATCTTCTCAATCTTACACGTTACACATCGGGAGCTCCGCTTTTAGGCAGTGCCTAAATCTGAATATTATAAAAACGTTAAATGGCGATCATTTAGGTGTAACGCCATCACTCGCCCACATCTCAGACTTTCACATCTCAAACATTTATTTTCACATAAAAAATTACACATAATTATCAAGAGTATATAATGGGAGTTCTCCCATATATGCTCTTCGTTTCTATAATGTACGTCGATGGTTGCTCAATTAATACTTACTTCTTCTCACTCACTCATTTGTGTTCTTTTTTTGTGGTGAGCTACAGTGTCATTGACGCTTTCATTCTTTGTAAAAACGTTAGTTAATATACTTTGGTCATGGAACCGAGTGTGTACATTGTATTTGAAAGTAACGTTTTATGCATTGTTATATATCATTATCATCATCATCATCATCATCATCATCATCATCATCGTATCGTTATCGTGCATCATATATCATATTTATGTTATGTTTAGATTTTTATATTTATATTTATATCAGGCACATGATCTGTGATATAGGTATCCCTAATCTAATTCACGTTTATATGTAAGCAATATATATGTAAAGTGTGATCCTATTTATGAATTTTTCAGGGAAGCCTATCCCGAAATCCGAATACAAGACGTTCAGTTTGCATTTAATGTTGCTCAACTGATGGAGCTAGAAGGGAAAAGGTACAAATTTCTCAAATCGGCAGGCGGCGGGTGCATGCTGCTGACCAAGTTCTCAATCTCACTTCCCTTCAACTGCCCTTCATGAAGCAAGTAATCATTTGAGCCATGGGTAATAATCATTGTGCTGTTGATAGGTTTTAATAGACTTCTTTCCATTTCTCTGCCAGGCAAGCAGCGAGTGAGGCAGTGGCTGTGAGTAGCCAACTGAAAACTAAACCTGGACAGAGTACACAAATGCATCCGTTTCCATGTGGTTACATTTGCTGCTGTGGACCCAAGGTACAGACATGAATGCAGTAATTATTAACGCGTTTGCATGTTTTGCAGTGGCACTAATATCTCCTCCCTTTTCTGCTCTTTTTAGCTTGCCTTGACATCGTCAAGATGAGCTATTGCCATGGGGTGTTGTCCGTCGTACGTCCGTCCGTTCGTTCGTCCGTCCGTCCGTCCGTCCGTCCGTCCATCTGTCTGTTCGTTCGTCAACATTTGGCTACGGTCAACGATAACTCAAGAACCGTTTGACCCACATGTTTCAAATTGCATATAGTTGTTACTCCTATGGGGGAGGTTTGAACGTTATATTTTGGAGCACGCCAGTCGACCTACTTTCGAGCCACGTCAACTTTTTGGCAAAAATTTAAATGGCCATAAGTCAGTTCAGGTTCAACGGATTTTGCTCATTTCTAGTATGTGAATGAATAAGGACTGGCCCCAAAACATATCACACGGGTTTTCACATTTTTTTAAATTGTGCAAATTAGGTAGATTTTGGCAATTTCACTATGCATTTCAGTTTCTGCCTACGGTCAACGATAACTCAAGAATCGTTTGACCTACATGTTTCAAGTTGCGTACAGTTACCCCTATGGGAGAGATTTGAACGTCCTTTTTTGGAGCACGCCAGTCAACCTTCTTTCGAGCCACGCCCACTTTTTGGCAAAAATGAAAATGGCCATCTAAATTCATTCGATTTTGTTAAATTTTGGTATGTGAATGTGTAAGGCTAGCCCCAAAAACAGTTGTTACTCCTATGGGAGAGATGACAACGTCCTATTACGTTTATTTTGTCTAACTGGTTAACAACTCTACAATCATACCTATTTACGTGTAATATTGTGTTTTAGATTCTTCGTTACAGTAATTTCATTGGAATATTTTATTGTTTTATTTGCGCAATATTCGAAAACCAAAATGGCGATTATTTAGGAGTAGCGCCATCTCTCATCAACATTTATTTTCGCATCAAAACTTATGCATATATCATTATCAAAAGTATATAATGGGAGATATGCTATATAATGGGAGTTCTTCCATATATACTCTTGCTTTATATATCCCCCCTCCCTCTTCTATCACATCCAAGGTGAGCTACAGTCTCATTGACACTTTCATTTTGTCTCCCATCTCTCCTCTCTCAGAGGAATGATACAAAAGTGTCAAGGTAATATGTGTGAAAAGATCACCACGCATTCAATTCTGTGTTGCGTTTGCGTCGTGTAACGCATCGCGTAATCTGAATCGTTCTTCACAAAGTCCCATCTCTAATCGTTATGGTGTTTTCATGCCGTCATTTTCAACGCACTTACTTACTTACTTGCTTAATCCTCTTCACTCCTACCGGATCATAGGGCATCCACTAGTTTTCTCCATCGGACTCGGTTTTGTGCTGTCCGCTTGAGCTGCTCCCACGTCATGCCGATCTCCTGATGTTCTTCTGTGACTGTTCTCTTCCACCCTTTTCCTTTTCCCCTGTGGGTTCCACTCTAAGGACTGCCGCGTGGTGTTGGTCTTCGGTTTCCTTAGGGTGTGTCCAATCCACCGCCATTTCCTTTGTCTGATAGTAACTTCGATATTCTCCTGTTCCGTGCGTTGCCATAATCGACGTTCGCTATTCTGCTTGGCCAAAATATACCTAGGATGTAGCGATCCCTGCGATTGACAAATGTTTGAAAAAACGCACTTAGTTCGCAAAATTTTCACGAAGCTCTGCCTTGCTGCAGATTACAATAGGTAACTGCCTCGAACGCTTTGTAGTCGAAATGTCACTTCGAATGTCACTCCTGGGGGCGAGTTTGAAACGGTAGATGACTGTGCGCCATTATGGCCAGACGCTTGAGTTTCGGGTGGAACGGTACATGTTGCGTTGACGTCACTCCATTGCACGCGTCGATTTCAGACGGATTGCGCGGAGTTCTACAAGGCAGAAGAGAAGCAGCTCATTGATGCGTGCGAGGCGGAGAAGGATGCAGCCTTCAAGGACACTCTCGGAATCGCATTCGTCACGTTTCAGACGGACGAGATGGCTCACGCGTAAGAGTAATTACAGCGTAACTACTCATGTAATGTGTTTACACTAGGATGTCTAGGCAGGGGATCGAGCTATTGACATTAATGGACAATTGAAGTCTAATTTTCCAACTTCTGTAACGTTTTAAATACATAGAAATACATTCAATAACGTATTCCATTTCAAATCCGGCGCCCAATTAGTAATAAACATCTGAATAGTAATCTAGGTTATGTGACGTCACGGCCTCAAGTTGAGCGACGCCATTATGTAAACATAGTGCGTGCGGTGGTTAAATATTCGATGTTTTTTTGTTATTTCTCATGCTTATTTATCATGTCAAGACACAAACATGTAGCCTGTAAATGTACTTAAATATTCATGTACATACATATTACCTGTGTGGATAATGCATTCACGGTATATGTACATGACTTGCGTAGATACATGTACATGTACAGATACATGTGATTCTGACCGAGCGTGATAAGCACGGTGATCAGTGTACTCGCATGACTCACCTGGTCTAGCATCGAACTGGTCTACAATAACCCTGGTATTCTCATTCTCATGGCAGCATATACGTTCAGATGCCGTACTCATTAATTCACAAACACCACAAGAACACCAGTATTTGTCTACAGTCCTATCGGGTACCGAAGCTTCCATTCCGCCATGTTGTGACTGTTCTGATTCTTGAGAAGTTTGTGCCGACTCTTCGCGTTGCTTTTTCGGACGATTTTCCTTAATTTCTTCTTGTGTATATTCAGGCTCAAACCTATATCCAACTGGTAAATCAATCACTATAAATATCATCATCACCTGCGTAATCACTAGAATCATTGAAATTATCGCTTTCTGTTTCCAATTTATACACAACACTCAACTTGCGTTAGCGTGGCGTCGCTCAACTTGGGGCCGTGACGTCACATGACCATCACTTGGGCTCCGGATTTGAAATGGAATACGTTATTGGATGTATTTCTATGTATAAAAACGTTATGTAAGAAGTTAGAAAATTTGACTTCAATTGTCCTTTAACGGAGGGTCGGGTGTCTCTCATCGCACTTACTGCGAAGCTCCCGTTGACATTAATGAGGGCGGGTGCTCGCATGCGCACTTACTGCACGAAGCTCCGTTGACATTAACGGAGGGTCGTGTGTCTGCTCATCGGTGCTACTGCGAAGCTCCGTTGAGATTAACGCGGAGGGTCGCTGTGTCCTCTCATCGCACTTACTGCGAAGCTCCCGTTGACATTAACGAGGGTCGGGTGTCTCTCATCGCACTTACTGCGAAGCTCCCGTTGACATTAACGGAGGGTCGGGTGTCTCTCATCGCACTTACTGCGAAGCTCCCGTTGACATTAACGGAGGGTCGGGTGTCTCTCATCGCACTTACTGCGAAGCTCCCGTTCTCGTAAAAGCGGTGTTAATTTAGGAAATGCTATGTATAGATAGACGTGTCAGGTGCTTCACCGGTCTTGTTTCCCCCTTGACAGTGTCGTGCAGAGCTACCTGGGAGCCTGTGGGAAGGGATCGGTGGCTGGCACATCTAGTCTGAGTGGCGAGCTCATGTCGTCCCAGTGGGAGGTGAAGTACGCACCCAGCCCCGAGGATATTTACTGGTGGGTATTGTTATGCGTCTTCTTCTTCGTTCTCTACTTCTTCTTTATCGTGTTCTTTGCCTCCCCTCCTGCTCCTCCCCCTCCTCCTTCTCTTTCTGCTCCGCTTCCTTTTCCTCCTTCTTTGCCTTCACCTTCTCCTCTTCTTCCTCCTCCTACTTCTTCTTCTTGCCTTTATTTTTTTATGGGACCTTCCCCCAGGGAGATGTTTTCAAGCACTTGCGTCAGTTTAAAAAAACCGAAAATCAAAAAGTCATCTACAAGTAAGTTGAGAAACTAAGAAACTTTTAGCTCTATAAGCTATATCTAGAATGGAATACATGCATGGTTGCCACACGTTTGCGACGAGGAGTGGAGTTGTGACAACCTATGCATTTATCCAGACTGATTTTCTGCATCAATAAGGAGTTTATACAAAGTTGATGCTACAAAATGAGTCGTCAGTAAATAGACACAAATTAAGCAGTTCTTAAAGTGAGCTTTGCATTAGTGTGACAGGAAATTTGCGGGAGACCAATTTCAAGAACTACTGAGATATGAGATATGACGAAGAATTTGGAAGTAGCAGAACATAACTAACAGTGGGTTAGACTAGACCAGTGTGCGATAGTAGCACATGGAATGGATATGAAAATCTTCATGTACTTATCATTTTATCTAATAATTAATTAATTACCTGCTTCATCTCCACGCATAACTATGACGGATGCATTTCCCTTGCCCCCCTCAAAAAAAACATTTTTAACCGACCCTTGATGCAAATTTTTCGAGCAAAAATGTTTAATACCAATACTATTACTACAACTACTGTTGCTGCTGCTGCTGATCCGGCCTCCATCTTCCCCCAGCTGTAGCAGCACCACTACCACTACCAATAATAATAATACTAAGAAGAAGAAGCAGAAGAAGAAGAAGAAGAATGATAATGATAATGATAATGATAATAATTATAATAATAATTATTATTATAATAATAACAGCAATAATTACAACAAGAAATGTAGCTCAAGAATTGAACCATGACGTACAGTAAGGATGACGGTGGCTCACATATTGCACATGCTGGTCTTGCTTTCAGGGAGAATCTGTCGTCGTCGCCCGGCAGTCTTGCCGTGAAGTCTCTACTCGTCAATGGCTTCCTCTTCATCGCTTTGTTCTTCTTCACGACTCCGGCGATCATCATCACCTCTCTCGACGACATCTTCTACAAGGATGCTGCGAAGGTTCAGACGGTGCGTTGTCGTGGCGACGATCTCTGCCGCTTTTCTCCTCGACCTGTCGATGGACAGCTCACATTCTTTTTACCACGGTCGTCGTCGTCACTACCATCTTGCATGTATCTGAATTATTTTTTGCAATATCTAAGCCCCTTTTATGGAATTGATTTGTATTTAATCTAACCTCTAATGAATTGTGTATATATAAATATATATATATATATCAGGAGTAGATAATAGGGATATATATATATACATATTATTATTTGCTTCAGAGTCCTGTTATATCAGAGTTTCTTCCTACTCTTCTACTCTGGACCTTCTCAGCTATTCTACCTGCAGTTGTCGCCTGGACTGACAGATTTTTGTCCTACTGGACAAGGTACAGTATTTTAGGGTCTCGCTATATCTGCACCTGCATGTTTGCACGCGTAGAGCATAATCGAGTGCTCTCAACTATACAGAGTATTTTGCAGAAGCATTTCGCCGTTAATATTTCTTTCGCTCGTTTTGCCTTACGTCTGTAGGAATTTAAAAATGCTTAACTGTCGTTTTGAAGGGGTTGGGAAATTATAGGCGTAGCCTGCAGTGGGAGGTAATGGATTTGTTAACATTTTTTGTTGATAAATTTTGGTAAAAATAGGTTTAGATGAATGCTGTTTATATTACCAAGCACGAATGTCGAACTTGTTATGGGCTTTAATTGCAAATCAAATGAGCAAACACATCATTATAAGGTTTTTGTGATTTTTTATGCATAAACCCACTTAGAGAAAAAAACCTGTGGAAGCCGTATGACTATAGATTTCTGCCACCAAAAAAACTGTTACACAATTGAGAGTTTTGTGGTGAAATATGAACAAAGCATAACAGTTTCTATTTTACTCATTTTTGTTATTTTTCACTATTTTAGAAATTTCTAAATCAGTATGCCATTTGCTTCTGACATAATTGGAATGCCAAGGCTTCATTTACTTTCTATAGGACTAGGCTGGCCCTTTGTTGTTAGATTATTACATTTGCATGAACTCTAAAAAACACTCAATTAAATACTAAAGAAATATAGCGGCATGAATTTTATACATAGCGATCAAAGGTAACATTTTTCCTTTTCTGAGAAAAACAGATCTAGAGATCTGAAGCTTCTGCAGTGAGTGAGGGGAAACTATGTGCTTTTTTACTGGAAATGTTTTTTTCATTACCTATTCATTTAGTATTTTGCCATTATGTAAACAAACATTGTTGCACCTAGTGTGAGAAAGCACTTAAAACTGCGGCTATAATTAGTTGTTATGCTTCAGTTCTTGATTTTCCTTGCTCTATGCCCTGACCTCAGGCAATCCTGGTTGTGGCTGTCTTTTTTGGCTGTCGATTTTGGCTGTCGCTTATTTGAGAATGGAGTTGTTTTCTTAATTTCAACCCCATGCATAGGTGAATGTACACTATATATTCAGTGTTTGAGCAGCATTGAAATAATTTGTTTTCAATACGAACCGATTGGCAGAGAAGTGACTTGCTAGCTTAGTCATTATATATATTGATATCGGGAGTAAATGTCAGGAGATTATGATATTGTATATGCCTGGCTGATACGAGTGCAATAATACTGAATGTTATGTTGTGCTGTGACCTGCAAGTGTCAAACACAAGCGCCAGCATAACTTGCTGTCAGGTTTCTGTAATAAGTGCCTTACTAATATCACTATTAATAATAAATGCCAATTAGTCGTTATAGCTAACTGTTTCTGCCGTTATGGAATTTGGATTGTCATTGCGCAAAAGTTCCGCTGGCTTTTCCTACAGGGAATTTCGCTTGGTCGTTACTCAATTATAATGTTCTACATGTTCTATAATGTTATAGTTGAAATTGATGGAATTCGCCCCCAGACGTACTCTCATCAGCAGCCATGTTTGCCTCCATTTTATCATCTTGATTATTCATTTGTTTTTGTAATACCCCTTGAAGATTTTTGCAGTAAATATCTTAATTTATGACGTAGTTTCAAAATCAAATACTCCAAGTTAATTATTAGTCGTAAATGAAAGCTTTTTGTTGTGCTCTTAGCGATAGAATTTGAGTAGGTATTAACGCAATCTTCGTATAAATGATTTTGGCTAAGAGCATCAACTGAGTTGTTAATATTTTTGTTGTGATCAGGTCAGAGCAGCACCATTCCCAGATGAAAAAGACATTCATCCTTCTGATCTTTATGGTTTTAATTCTACCATCACTTGGTTTAACAAGGTACGATAAAAATTAGTGTGAAAACTTGCATAATTTTAATTGTACACAGTTATTATGCACATGGAGAGACAGGGAAGTGAGAGAGCGAGAAATAAGGGCAGAGAGAGGGGGCACAGAGAAAAAAAAAGTGCGTGAGTGAGAGAGAGAATATGAGAGAGAGAATATGAGAGAGAGAAAGAGAGAGAGAGAGAGAGAGAGAGAGAGAGAGAGAGAGAGAGAGAGAGAG